GGAAAAATGTATTTCTATAGCAGGAAGCTATGTAGAAAAATAAATCATAATGTTTTTTTATTTTTTAATAAATAATTTTAAAACATAAAATAAATCCCATTTATATTTGATCCACCCTCTTACATTTGGGCCTCACATTTACATAATTCTTTCATGCGCTAATTGATTTCTGTTCTCTGAAATTTTGTGAGTGCTTTTCTGAACTTTTTATTTCAAACAGAAATTGATAATATTATGGAGCATAAAAAGAGTGGAGTGTCAAGAACTGTGCTCACCATAGAAACTAAGCAAGAGATAATAGCCAAAATAGAGTGGGCAGATGTCTGATGTTACTAGGCAGTATGGCTTGAACAGGTCTACAGTAGGCACAATCTTAGCTAAGAAAGATATAATCAAGAAGACTCAGAGCTAAAGAAGTAACGAAAATCACATCTGAGAATCAAAGATGTTCCATCCACGAAAAAATGGAGAGATTGCTTTTAATTTGGATAAAAGAAAAGGAAATGAAAAAGATGTAACTAGTATGACTATCATTCAAGAGAAAGCTAGAGAAATTTTTGAAGAACTGAAGAAACAAACTTCACATTCATCACATGAGAAGACAGAATTCAAAGCTACTACTGGATGATTTTCAAAGTTTAGAAGGAGAACTGGCATTGAACATGTAGTAATTTACGGTGAGTCTGCTAGTGCAGATAAAGAAGAAGCTGAGAAGTTCTGTCTCAAATTTGAAGAATTCGTTAAAAAAGAAGGATATTGTCCACAACAAATTTTCAATTGTGATAAAACTGGTTTATTTTGGAAGTACATACTGAACCATACCTACAATACAAAAGAAGAGAAAAATATTGGGCATAAACTCATGAAAGACCAATTGAAGTTACTTTTGGTAGCTAATGCTAGTGGTGATATGAAGCTTATCCCACTTTTTGTCTATCACTCTGAGAACCCTAGAGCATTCAAAAAAATTCCATAATTAAAGAAAAACTGCCAGTGGTGTGGAGATCAAATAAAAGGGCATGGGTCATGCAGGCTCTTTTCAAAGAATGGCTGTTTGAAGTTTGTGCTCCAAACATCAAGGATTACCTTCAGACCAATGAATTGCCATTAAAAGCACTGTTGCTATTGGACAATGCACCAGGACACCCAAAAGACCTTTAAGATAATTTGCTGGAAGACTTTCTCTGGCTGACAGTTCAGTTTCTACCTCCGAATACCACTTTGTTGTTTCAACCAATGGATCAAGAAGTTATTGCAGGTTTCAAGAAATTGTACATTCGAGCACTGTTTTGTCGGCGTTTTAAAGCATGCCAGTTCTCCTCAACAATGATATTAAAAACGTTTCGGAAAGAAAAATTTGGTATTCTTGAAGCTATACAGCTCCTTCAAAATGCATGGTCAGAAGTCATGCAATGACAGTTGAATTCTGCTTGGCAAAAACTGTGTCCCTCCTGCATTCAGGGAGAGAGAGATGATGTCCCTGAAATTATGGATAAAATTGTGACAACTGCTAGAGATCTGGAATTGGAAGTGAATAAAGATGACATTGAAGAGCTCATAATGGAATCTGAAACTGATCTGACTACAGAAGAACTTCAAGAATGTCAAAATGAAGAACACCAAGAAACTCAGCAAGATGTGTTTTCTTCTGAAAAAGAGGAAGACGAAAGAGGACCAATGTCGACATCTGCTACTAAAGATCTTTTGAAGTGGGAAGATGTCAGAACAATGGTCTTAGAATGGCATCCAAACCAAGTTGAGGTTAATAGGCTTGGATATATCTACGACGACAATGCTATTAATTACTTCTGAAAAATCCTGAAGAAGACAGAAAAGCAATTGACATTGGACAGATTCTTTAACCCCACAAAAGGAAAAAAACATGACTAATAAAAATGCAAGACTGTGCATATATGTACTTTTTATTATTACATATAAATAAACGTAGTAAGAAAGTATATATTTTTTTTATTTTTTTGGAGTCTCCAGAACGAATTAATCAAATTCCCATAAAACCTGCGGTAATTGACAATCGGTTAACGAACAATTCGGATAATGAACAAAGTCTTGGAACAGATTATGTTCGTTAACCAATCACTCACTGTAGTCAAAACCTGTAGTCAAAATCACTTTTTGATAAATAAAATGTATATTACATAATAATTGATTTATTGTCATATTTTTCTTTTTTAAGATATCAAATGCAAATGAAGAAGTTAATGAATTCTTCAAAAGTGGTCACACCAATAATTGGGCAGTGTTAGTCTGTACATCTAGATTCTGGTTTAATTATCGTCATGTAGCAAATGTATTGTCTATATATCGAAGTGTCAAAAGATTGGGAATTCCTGATAGGTGAGAATGGTTTAATATTATGCATTTATATAATAAAGCAAAGTAGTTTTTATTTTAATTTTATTTTATACATTAATTTACTAATTTCCATGCACCAATATATGCTATAGATTCATCTAATATATATTTTATTTCCAGTCAAATTATACTTATGTTAGCAGATGATATGGCTTGCAATACTAGAAATCCACGTCCAGCTACTATCTATAATAATGCTCATCATCATATAAATGTTTATGGAGATGATGTTGAAGTAGATTATAGAGGATATGAGGTAATTTCAATAAATTAAAAAAAAATAAATTATTCAAAAAATTTTAAAATTATTTTATTCATATTAAGATTATCTTTAAAAAATCTATGATAAATTTCATATATGCTAGATTGTATTTATGTTAGGCTAAATGTGTGAGTGCTGAAGGGTGGTTGATAATCTTGAATGGATTTATGTTAATTTTGTTTTTTTTCTGGGGATTTCATGCAAGAAAGTATTGTGAGTTGAGTGAGAAAAGTAAGTAGATGATGGTTGGAAGGAAATCTCATATAAGTTAATTTATGGTTTTGAGAATTTTACAATGGCATAAAATCATATAAGTGAAAGTTTATGTTACTATTTTGATAAGATTTTTTGTTGTACCATACCTTATATCATTTTTATATAGAAAATTGTATTGACCATGCTGACTGGATTTCAAGCAAAGAAATAAAGTTGAGTTTGAGAATAATTTTCTCCTGGTTGAATGCATTTTATTGAATGCTCAGAGCAATCAATAAAATTATTATTCATAGATCACAATATAATGTAATCTATGATTAATAATTATTTTTCAGTGACCACAAAATTGTCTATAAATTGAAATCAAAAACTATAAAAATGTCAGTTATAAAAGTATGAAAATATAATTTATGTTGAGCATATAATATGAAAAATATGAATGGAAGCACTAGAATAACTTGAAAATAATTAAATACAGTCGACCCCCCATAACGCAGGTTCATATAATGCGGATTTGTATATCGCGGCGAAAAAATTGCGACTGTATTCATATAAAGATGCTAAAAGAGACTCGTAAAATGCGGTAAAACTTCATTGCCGACTCGTGTTGCGACAGGATAGGTCGAATCTGGACCAATAGTGGATGAGCAGCCAAACTACTTACATGCTACGGTGAGTTTAGGCAGGTGAGTTGAGTTTACTATCATCTGTACAGTATATAAATTGTAATTTTATACATTTCTTGTGAAAAAAACATTTCTTACTCAACGGCCATAAAAATTATTTTTATTAATGATGTCTCCAAAGTTCAACGAATTTTTCGCAGAAAAATAACTTATCAGAAAACACACCCGCCGTTTAGTGCGCTGCTCTGTGACAAAAACAAGCTTAAGCAATGGCGTCGTCGAACGGTGCACACTCGGTAAGTAATCCTACAATTTTTTGTTTATAGCATAGTTTATACGGATTATTCCCAACAAAATGTATTCATGTTTTGGAAATGTTGAGTCAAATTAGTCTAGAATCGATTCATTTTATGGAAGAAAACCTTTCAAATAGCCGTAGTCTGTAAACTGCAAATGTGTCGAACTGTGATTGGCTCATGTATTTAAGGATTCCAGCAACGTGAAATTCTTATAAAGTGGAACATATCTACCACGTTATAGGGGGGTCGACTGTATATTGATAATTTTGAAATATCTAATGAATTATATCAGTGGTTCTCAATTTTACAACACATTAAAATTAAAAATGGCAATATTTTTAATCCTAATTCTTTTTTGAGAAAACTTATGCAATTTTAGCTTTTTTTGGAAAATAAGAGAATCAAAACTTCAATTAGATATTATAAATTATGAGGGTGAGTCAAAACAGGCATGAGGAAAAAAAATCAATCTAAATGATGATCAAGGGAATACATCAGAAAAAAATTCTTTTTTTTTTTCATTTTTATTCATTTTCAAGGAATCATTTTCAAAAAAAAAAAGTATTTTTTTAATTATTCCTATGGAACTGAATGCATTTCTGCCTTTGTCTCTGTCAGTCCTTAAAAACATGTAGCAGCCAAGCTTTTCAGATTTTCTTCAGAATCACCTCTGTTGCTTTGATCACTATTGTTGAAGACAGGAAGTGGCAAAAGGCCAAAATTCATGTTTCCAAATGAGAGGGAGTGTCCTCTTTGCCTTTCCCAGGAGGAGAGTAACAACGATTTTGGGAGAATGTTTAAAAATGTATATTCCATTGTAGTGGTCAATATTGTAGTCTATTCACAGTCAAAAAAATTTATTTGTTTGGTAGGGTTATGGCTCATTTGAATGGAAGTTTCAAAGGAAATTTGATTAATAAAGAAAACAATAGAACATTGACACTGACCTCTTTATTTACAATGAAATAGTGATACTATTGCAATCTGTTACAAAAATATTAGTATAATAATTCAGCAATGCCATTTTTAAATTCTAATATGTTTGGTCTACTTTATAGACTATCATCAAAAATAACCACTTTGCAAGTTACTGTAAATAACTTGTAAAGGCTCAAACTGGATAGAAGAATTTCCCATTTGTAATTTCTTCAAAGAGGTTTTCTCATAAATAGGAGGGATTTCAACGTTCTCTACTTAAATTTAGCCCCATAACTTTAACTTTAGTGCTGGGAGTAGGAAAAAGTCAGTGCGCCAAATCTGTGCTGTACAGTGGATATGTGGGTCACATGAGATGATTATTTTTCTACATAATATTATACTCTTTACATTATATTTTTGTTGATTACCTATTTCAGTAATTTTATTATTGCATATATTAGATATACACAGGATGACTAAATGAAAAGTACACTTGTGAAAAATACTCAGAGATACAGGTGAGAAGTTTCTGTATTAAATAAAGGTTCAAGGTTTAAGTATTTTTCACAATGCATGATAGGGCAATAACAAGGTACAACTGGCTCATAGAATTGCCAAGAAGAATCAAAAGAGCAAGATCTGCTCTTTGTTGGTAGACTTCTCATTTGATCACCTTGTGTATTACTTTATTTATTGATTATCTTAAAATGAATTATTGACTATGTTGCATGATTATATATAGCAAAATTTCTATATTCACAAATTACACAAATTTTCATTTTGGTATTTGCAACTATTTTTCATATTTGTGTAGTTAAACTTAGCTTATTTGAAGAAGGATTAACAAAATAATGAAGTTATGAATACAGGGACATTTAATGCATTTATATTAAATTCATTCTATTGCAATTTGTGTTGTCAACCACTAGATTACACTAATTAAGCTAAAAATACAAGAAACTCTTAGTTTCTTTTAGCTTGTGCACACTTACACAGATGGTAAGCATAGTTTCATGTTAACATTTACATTCACAATGCATATTATATTTTACTATTAACTAAAAAATTCATACATTAAAATCTCTTAAATGAAATTTTATTATTATTTTTTTAATAGGTAACAGTTGAAAATTTTATCAGATTACTGACAGGACGTTTATCACCAAGTACACCACGTTCTAAAAGATTACTTTCAGATGAACATAGTAATATTTTGATATATATGACTGGTAAAATATTTATTTTTTAAATCTGATTCATTCGTATAACTTTTTAATAAATTGATTTGATGGAAATGAATCTGATAAAAATAATTTATTGTTGCTTTTATTTAATTAATTTAAAAACTATTTATGGTATTTTTATGAATGTGTATATATGAGTATTTATTGAAATGCATATACAATCTATTCAATAATTTTTTTTTATTAATCTAAAAATCAATTACAAGGATTCTTGTAGCCTGTTCACATCACTTCCTTTTTTTTTTTACCCAGAAGGGTTAGAATTTATATATATTTATCTTAAAATTTTGAATTATTACAATCATATGTCTTAATAATTTTGGAAATTTCAAACCACAGTTTATATCCTTTGATTAATTGGAGAATGTTATGAAGAATTGTTGGAATTTTATAAAGAAGTAAAAATGAAGCATAACTGTGAAAGATTCATTTCACAATTATGTAAAATTGTATTATTGAAATTATAGTTAATGTTTCTTTTGAAAAATTATCATATAATTATATAGGTATATTTTAAATGAAATATCAGATTGAATTTTCTAATCTTTTTTTGTAAAAATTTTAAAATATTTGAAAATGAATTCAAAATTAGTTGTCTGCAATTTTATTGTTTTCTATCATGTCATAAAAATGCATGCAGCTTTCAAATTTTGTATTACAAGAAAAAGTTAAAAAATAAATAAATAAATAAATACATCTTATATTTTTAGAACTAAATTCCTTCTGTTAATGTATAGTTTGTTAATGAATGTTTCTTCATTTAAAGTTTAGAAAAAAATGTATTTCATACAAAAATACACCATAATTATTGATTTGTTATACTTATTATACAAAATTTATAGTTTTGTGTAATGACTAAAACTAATAAATACTTGAAGATAAAACAAAGAATATTTTCTTTTTCCTAAAATCTCAATAATTCACATCATTAGAACTTTTTAAAGTGCTGCTAGCAACTTTTAAGTAGAACTATTTCAAATGTTTTTAAATACTTCTGTTCTGCTCAAGGAATTAGCAAGTGTTCCTTTGTTTTGTCTTTGTCTTTATTATATTTTAATATAAATATAGTCCTGGAATCTACAATTAAGGATTTTTTTACAACTTTATATTAATTACAAAACTTCTTTGTTTGAACTAAATTAATTAGCTGTGTTTATGATGAATAGTAAATTTAATGATAAATCATTCAATTTCTTTATTTCATTTTATCTTCTCTTTACAATGAATTGTTTATTGTTTTGGAGGATAATTTTGCTGATTTAATATTAACATATTATTTTTAACATTACTTATTAAGTTTTCATTTATATATGACATTTCTCAATAATTCTGATATTGCACAATATATTTCTCAATAAGGACATGGTGGTAATGGATTTTTAAAGTTTCAAGACTCAGAAGAAATAACAAACGTTGAATTAGCTGATGCATTTGAACAAATGTGGCAGAAACGAAGGTAAACTTATATATGTTATATTGTTTGTACAGATTATTGATACAGCTGTTTTCTCATCTGACTTGTTTAAATGTAGACTAATTTATACAGGTAGGCCTCCTACAACGCGGTAGATATGTTCCTTGAAAATACCGTGTTGTGGGAAATTGCATTATAGGAGACACCAACTTAATACAAAAACTGGGATTCGGTTCTAAAAAGAGAAAAACTTGGCATTTGAATGGCATTTTTTGAATTTTTCAAACCAGCCATTGCTAGCCACGAATTTAACACTGGTTTCACCAGCTAACTGTCCCATTTGTTTTAAATAATCAAATATTTTTAAGGCTTTGTGTTTAAGTGCAGTTTTATTTAAAGACAACCGTTTCTTGTTCGTATCTTCTACCCATAATATTAGCGCTTGTTCCATTTTTTCCATTATAGGTGCTCTCGGACGAGCAACATTTTTCGCAAGAACAAATGATCCGGATGCGACCAAATTTCTGATCTTTTCTCCCGACAGAATTATCGACTCGTTTAAATTAAAATGCCTATCGATATCAGCTATATGCTCTTGATTTTTAATTCGATTCAAAATTTCTATCTTTGTTTGAAGAGTTATAAATTTCCGTTATAACAACAGTCCTTTCTTTTCATTCAGCATTGTTATGGCTAAAATTTTTTCAATCAGTTTTGTGGACAGTAAAAATCGCAAAAAATAACTTCCTTTCGCTATGTTGTTAAAAATATACACCCAATAGAAGTTTATACTGTATTTTGGACCATTTTTGCAGTCCCCATTTATTGAAAGAGTATAAATGATTGAAAATTTAGTGATATATTTGAGTGTTTACGGTAACTGATGCACATCTGTCTAGAAACCGGTCTTCCCCTGAAACTTTCGAGAGAATAACATGCCAACGTCCACAAACAGCTGTTTTCAAAGACTGTATGCTCTGTATGCCGAACTGTGGCTCGTATCACATGATCCGTTGCGATTTTTCTGTTATGTGAAGATAATTCATTTCTAAATACCGTAAATCGCGTTGTAAAAGTACCATGTCGTAAGAAAATTTCCGCATTTTTCCAACCGCTTTGGAGCGAAAACGCATTGTAGGAGGCCTACCTGTATTACAGAAAAATCAAAATTTAAATACAAATATATATCAATCAATCAATCAATCAATCAACATTTATTTGCTATGGCTTTCGCCTTTGCAAAGGGGTTACAAAGTCGTGTAGCGTTAATGATACAAAGATTGTTATACATGGTTTCAAAAAGAACAACAACACAAACAATAAATGATAATAATAATAAAGCTTAATTAATAATGTTATGTTAGCNGTCTACAGTAAAAGTTATTATTTGTTTATTATTACTTCTATAGTTATATAAAAATTAAAGCTCATCACATATTTTCATTAATAATTAGAATTAAATAAACTAGTATTGATGTATTACTTATATTTTCATTTAATTTTTCCATTGATTCTATTTGATTTCTTGATATGTATCAATCCTAAGGGAATCATTGGAATCTGATTCAAATGTTTAAATTAAGTCAAATAGTTACTTGTCTGTTTTTAAATATAATACTTTTTTGAAGTTAAGTTAATTCACTGATCACATTGTTGTAGATATCATGAGATATTTTTCATGGTTGATACTTGTCAAGCTGAATCAATGTACCAGCGTTTCTATTCACCTAATATCTTGGCAGTAGCCAGCAGTCGTGTTGGTGAGGATTCATTATCTGTAAGTTTTGTTTAAAATAATTTTTAGATAATGTGTTATTTTATTAAAATTACATTACAGTATGCAAATATTAATATTATTTTTCAGCATCATGGTGATCAGACTATAGGAGTGTATGTCATTGATAGGTATACATATTATGCTTTGGATTTCTTAGAAAAGGTTCAGCCTGAAGGAGAAAAGACCATAGAACAATTCGTAAGTCTTTTAACATGATTATGGACTGCATTAAAAACCTAGCTAAGAAAAGTAAAAGTTTCTTGCAAAAATATACTCATTCTAACAAAATGAAAAATTTTGTTTTCTAAATAACTCTTCATATCAGCTCTTTGCAACTTCTTTATTTGTTCATCTTTTTATTTGCATTATCTTAGCACTAATAATAAATAAATTATATTTTATTTTAAAATTTTATTCCATTTTGTCTGAAATGGGACCATTAATAGTTTATATAATTCTTAGAACCATAAGATTATAACCTGGTTGATAGCCAATCCAATTATTTAGTTAAAAAGATGAACTATTTTCTGACTACCATTAATCTAATTTTAATTACTATAATTTCTTGTGACTAATCTGCATTATAATCTGCAATTCTTCCTTTGTTCATATTTACCAAGAGCATGTTTAAAAATTATATAATTATTTATGTGCTGTAGACATATTCATTTTCAATCATAATTTTTCTTGAAGTTACCAAAGATATGTATACATATACCGCACCTTTAGTTTTCTCCTGTTCATTTTCTATATGCCAACCTACAATTTCATTGATATTATTACTTTTTTTGATACCTGTATCTTGAAAGCTAATAGATATCTAGCATTCTCTTCTCTCTTTCATACTTATAAGTATCATGTTTTCAATGGCCATTGTAGACTGAGGTGCAGGGTATATGATGGTGTGGTTTACAAGCAGGTTTTACTTGTTTTTTCATTTTTTTGGGGCTAAATATCAGTGGCAAGCAGTGACATTTGATGATAGGGAAACTGTGCCAGCCCTAGATAGAATCATTGGAACCGTTATACAATATTTTGGTGTGTAGCATCCACAAGCTAAACCACAAGAGGTTTGTGCTCTAAAGTGCATGTGCAAATGCATATAATCTGGCTGCTTTATACGATTCAAATATTTTGCCATGGAAACTGTCCCATATTCGACAATACAGTGCTTCAATTCCACCACTGATATTCGAATATACAATAGCAATCTTATCATTTTTTTCACATGTAGTATAGAAATTTGTAATAAGATACATAATGCAGTTATAATAAAATATTAATTTTAATTAATTCAAAGTATGTTGAAATATGAAAATAATCACACAATATGTATTTATATTTTAGAAAAACAAGGGAAGTAGCACTTCCACAGCTTCCATGGATGACACTCCACTGCTATATATTTGTACCAGTTATACACAGGAAAGGCACTCTTAGTGCCCTCAAGATCCTGTAGGCACTAAGAGGGCTTTTTGCAAGCCCATTATGCATTTGGCCAGGCCTACAATAGGGTGGTTGGTTGGTGAGAGATGGGGATTGACATATCTGGACAGACCACCCTTGAAAAATTCTTGGGATTTTTCTTATTTTTTATCTTGGATCCTCAAGGCATTAGGCTGCCACCTAAACTGCTCAGCCATCTGGCCGTCATCATTTTACATTAAGATGAAATAATTTAGTAAATTTAAAATTCATTTTTATTATTAACATAGCATCATAACTACTTATCTTTAGGACAAATTACATAATTGAATTAATTAAAATGAGCTTAATTTTGGCCTGAAAACAATCCAACTTTATAAATATGTTAAATAATAATAAAATCTTTATATTCTTAATTATATATATTTTGAAATGCTATTTATTGATTAAGAATAAATATAATCTTGACAGTTATAAATGCATACAGAGTATAGACAAAACATTTACCAGGCTATATCTTGCTTCTGATATATGTTAGTTGAATACAAGTTTATAAGAGTATAGACTCTTGTGCATATTTAGCTATAATATGTTTATAAGCAAGATATAGTCTGGTGTAATATTTTTGTCTGCACTCTGTAGTAAAAACTTAAAATGTAATTTTTTGAAGAAAAATTAAAATGGAAAAAACATGATTAATGTTTGCAGGAAGTATCAGAGATATTTACGAAAGT